TCTCCACCCTTTTTTTGTTTTTTTTAGGGTACTAGGTTTGAACTCAGGGCCTACACTTTGAGCCACTCCACCAGCCTTTTTTGTGAACAGTTTTTTGAAGATAGGGTCTCTTCAGAACTATCTGCCTGGACTAGCTTTGAACTGCGATCCTCCCAATCTCTGTCTCCTGAGATTTCTGCTAGGATAACAAGAGTGAGCCACCAGCACCCAGCCTTCCAATCTCTGCCTCTTAAATAGCTAGGGTTACAGGAGTCAGCCACCAGCACCCAGCCTGAATACTTTTTGAAAAAAAACAACAAAAAAACACATTGGTAGTCATAATTAACATACCATAAACTCACCCATTTTTTAATGGGGGCACAATTCAATGGTCTGGAATTTCACAGAATAACTGGGGCATGGTGGCACACACCCAGCACTTAGAAGGCTGAGGCAGGAGGATCTGGGGTCTGAGGCCAGTGAGACCTTTTCTGTAAAAACAAAAACAAAGTAACAAGAAAGCAAACAAAAATGTCAGAGTTCCTCTCAAGAATTCTCCTGTTCTGGACATCTCCTTTCAATGGAGTCACACACTGTGGCCTTGTGTATATGTCTCCTTCTCTCACTGGGCACAGTGTCAGTTAAGGTTCCTCCATGTCCTGGCATGTGTCAGAGCTTCATTCAGTTCACAGCTGAGCAATGCTTCATTGTGGAGGATCAAGGGCACAGGCAATCCTCACCTTTCAGCTGCTGTGGCCATGCACACAGTTTATTGAGTGGACCTTTGTTTTCACTTGTCTTGGGTACACACCTAAGAGTGCAACTGCCTGGTCACATACCAACTCTACGATGGCTGTGTTCAGGAATGGCTGAACAAGTTGGAGATTGGTTCAGACCAAAGCAGCCTGGGATGGCTGAGGCTAGGTGAGGCAGCACCTCAGGTTTAGGAGTTAAAGCAGGAAGTGGCTGGGAGAGGCAGCCTTTGCTGATCCTACAGGGCAGGGACAGGCTGGTAGGGAGGGGAGGGGAATCCTTACTCCCATTCAGCCAATAGACCTTCCTTCAGGGCTCCTGAGGTCTGGGGTGGGGAGACACCTGGGGTGAGGAGACGCCTGGGGTGAGGAAACCCTTCAGAGGTGACTTGAACAATTCAAGGGAATGACATGGGGACTTTCTACTGGGATGGAGGTCCTTTTAGGAGGAGCCTTGGGCTCTCCAGGAAGCCTCATCACTACCCGCCCCCCTACTTCCTGAGCCATTCCTTCTGACCCAAACCTGAAGAATGGGCCAGATAGAGTCCAAGGGCTGGAGAGTCATTGTTCCCAGACCACTGGGAACTGATTGAGGCCTATCCAGCCCTGGACCCTGGGTGTTAGACCTGGAAGTTCCCTTCAGATGTAGCTTGGAAGGCAGGCAGCAGCTCAGCTCCACCCCAAGCTCTGGCAGCCAGAAACCTGGGGAATGGGGACAGACAGCTGGGGGAAGTCCAGCTCTAGGCAATAAACATGCAAACAAAAACTCTACAACCATGAACCATGAGGACTAGCCTTGTCCTGCGCCTTTGTGTAGCACAGGAGTAAAGAGAGTCCTGCTCTTCCCATTTGTGTCAGGTGTGAAAAGTGCCCTGACACAAATAGCCTCGAGTACCTTTCCCTACCCATCTCCTACCACATTTAAGGATCATTTTGCAAAGGTAACAAGCAACCTTTCCAACAAAGGCCAGGTGAGCCTGTCCCTGCTCACTCTAAATCATTCATCAGAGAAGCAGCTGGAAACGCTGGGGTTGGGTGGGAGACAGAGAAGAGACAAAGAGAGCCTTACAGGTAGGATAAATAAACCAGGGGTAAACAGCAGCAGCATCCTCTACAGGTGGGGACTGAAATTTGTAATCAGCTCAGGGGCTATGGTTTCCAAAATGCCAGCCTAGCCTGGGAGGACACCATGGCCTCAGGTGACCTGGGGTGGGGGGATCTCCAGACCAGGCCCTACTTCAGTGACCAAGAGCCAGCCTCAGCCTCTGCTTACTTTTCCAAGCACCAGATAGTGGACTGTGCCAAGGAGTAGTCTCCAAAAAGGTATGTCCACATACTAATCCCCTGAGTTTTTGAATGTCACTTTGCTTGAAAAAGGGTCTTGCTGTGTGCTGGTGGCTCATGCCTATAATCCTAGTTACTCAGGAGGCAGAGATCAGGAGGATCACAGTTCAAAGCCAGCTAGGGCAAATAGTTTGAGAGACCCTATCTTGAAAAAATACTTAACAAAAAAGGGCTGATGGAGTCGCTCAATGTGTAGGCCCTGAGTTTAAAACCCAGTACCACATAAAAGAAAAAAGGGCTTCGGGCATGGCTCAAGTGGTAGAGTGCCTGCCTAGCAAGCACAAAGTCCTGACTTTAAGCCCAGTATCACCAAAACAGGAAAGAAAAGAAAAAGGGTCTTTGTACTGGGGTGTAGCTTGGTATGGAGGGCATGGTTAGCATGTCTGATGCCCTGTTCATTACCAGCACTGTGAAAGAAAAAAAGAAAAAGGGCTTTTGCAGATGTGGATGAAGGGTTCTGAGATCATCCAGGTGGGCCTTATATTCTAACCCATGTCATTAGACAGAAAAAGAGGGTTGGGCATGGTGGCTAGTGACTGTAATCCCAGATGGAGATAAGAACAGTAGTTCAAAGGCAGCCTTGGCAAAAAGTTAGGGAAACCTCCATCTCAATCAACAAGCATGGTGGTATACATCTGTGTTTGCAGCTATAGGAAGACATAGGTGGGAGGCTGGCCCTGGGTATAAAAATGAAAAATAAAGTAAAATGTGCTGGAGGTGTGGCTCAAGTGGTAAAGCACCTGCCTAGCAAGAACTGAGTTCAAACCCCAGTACCGAAGGGAGGGGATGTGGGGGGGGGGAGGTGGAGGGGAGGAAGTAGGAAGACCAGAGAAGAAGGCTGAAGGAGTCCATGTGAAGTCAAGGCAGATTGTCACAGGGCAAGAAGGACCTTCTTGGAGTCTAGGAGTGAGCACAGCCCCACCTGACATGGGGCCTTGGACTCTGCCCTCCAGATGAGAGGATCCATTAGTGTTTTAAGTTGCCCAGTGTGGAAAACTTTGTTATGGCAGTAATAGGAAACTATTAAGGATCTTACAGTTTTGTCTTAAAATGTTTGTTTTTTAGTTTGAGACAGAGTCTCGCTATATAGCCCAAGCTGGCCTGGAATTTGAGACCCTCCTGCCTCAGCCTCCTGAGTGCTGAGATTACAGGGTGTGCCACCACACCTGGCTTTAATCCTGCTTTGGCTAAAGTCACCAAAGCTGGCAGATGGCCATCCTTAGTTCCAGTGTGTTCACACCCTCCCAAGCTCCCCCCAACAGGCAAGGCCCCTCCTTCCTGGCCCTGGAATAGGGGCAATTATCAGGGATTCTGATCAGGGCAGGGTTGGCACCTTCCTTCTCTGCATAGTCTGTGACCTGCAGGATTGAAGGCTTGCATGAGATGAATGGGTAACACTGGAGATTGAATTGGCTGATGCCGCCTCCTTCATCGTTCTCCTGGCTCACTGGCTTATGTATGAGAAGAATATGAAGAGCACAGGTGGGTCTGGGACACAAGAGGCAGAGTCCTCACCAGTTTCAGAAACAGTTCAGGGAGGCCACCCAGATATGGAAGATCTGTGCAAAAGACCCTGAGGCAGCGCATTGGGGAGTAAGCACTTTTAAAGAAGAACCTGTCAGAGATGCAAAGGCCCCCAAGGTAGGTTGTGGAGGAGGGAGTAAGGCAGGTTTAAGCAAGGGCCTTCCAGAGAGAACCACCAAGCATGGTTGGCCTGAGTGGCTGCAAAGTGATCAGAAACTAAGTGGGTTTCAACAGGCTTCTGATGGTTTAGACCTGGCAGTCTCCACCCACATCAACAACCACCTGGGCTCTGGCCCCTCTCTGTCTGGGCTGAGCTGGCACAGAGGGTGGGGCCGTCCCTGGCACCAGTGACCTGGGGAACAAAGACTAGCAGCCAGGAGTGGATGGAGTCCTGGAGGGCGCAAATCCAGGGGTGTGTTCCGGGGCTTCTCCTAAATCCACCGGGACATTCCTGATTAGGGATTCTGGGGCCCAGTGGCCACTGGCTGGCTGGAGCCAAAGGACCTCTCGGCAGGGCCTCCGTGGAAATCGGCAGCCGCCCCTAATCCCGGCTGGAATCCTCTGGCACCAAGCCCGCGTCGGCTCCAAGGCTTTTGGGCCTGGGCCAGGCCCGCGGAAATCAGGGTTGCTGCCAGGGCTCCAGCTCCCCGGGAAGCAGAGCACACAGAGGCAGGGCGCTGGCCTCACCTCCACGCAGAGGAGAAACGGCATTTCTTCACTTTCTGGGCTGGTGCCAGTAAGCAATTCCTTTTTCTGCAGAGACGCCTGGCAAACAAGAATCGGATAATCTCCCCTATTTTTTTGAGCGTTTACTCGCACCGGGAACTGCTCCAAGGTGATGCCCAGGGTCTCCTCTTGCAGCCCAGCCCGGTTGTGTTCCTGGTGCACGGGCACTAGGGGACCCCCCCGCCCGTCCTCCCTGGGATAGTGCCCCGACGATTGGCCTTGGCACGCCCGGCCCGCGCTGAGAATCGGGTTCCTGAATATTAGTTTAGTGTGTCTTGTTGGAGTGGAGGCTCAAGAGAGCGGGACTCCTCTCTAGTCAACTGTACACCCGGACCTCAGTTTCCCCGTCCTTGGGGCGGGCGGCCATCCATGGAGCAGCTCGGGCCTGTCTTCCCAACTGTTGGGCGAGCAGTCGCCCACCCTTCGGCCCTAGCCTGAATTTTTCCATCTGCGAGGAAACGGCTGAGCCTTAGTTTCCCCATTCTTTCATTCACGGTCGGACTTGGCGGCGGAGAAACCACAGTAGGGGGTGACCCAAGATCAGGACGCATCTGCAGAGTTCACGGCCTGAGTTTCTGGACCGCACAGCCGGTTCCACCTCTTCACGCGCAGGTCTAAGAACAAACACTGGGTTTGAGTCCCAGGTTTTGGCCACGTGCCCACAAGGAAGATGGAGCGCCGCGGGTTTCCTGCCCAATTCCAAAATGGCGACGCACCTCACCTTGCCCTCACGCCTCAGGCTGACTGCCCCTGCCCGCTTGTAAGATGGCGGCAGCCGGAGGCTAGCACGCTTCTCGCAGCCTGACTCGCCACGTACCCACTTTCAAGATGGCTTTTCCCGTAAATACACATGCCAGAGGGAGGGTCGCTCATTGGCTTAGACGCCATCACGTGCTCCTACCTTGTCTCACCACCTCCCCTCCTCCACTGGCCGTTTCCGTCTTCTGCCTTGACGGACAGCAGCTTCTTCCAATAGTCGCTTGTTCTTTCTCTAGACCCCACCCACCCAGTGCTGGCAGGGGAAGACGGGGATCATCCCGCCCCCAAGCCGAAGCGGGAGCCAATGGGCAGTGCGCGCGGGGGACGTGTGCGGGCGTCTCCGCCATCTTGTGAGTCTATAACTCGGAGCCGTTGGGTCGGTTCCTGCTATTCCGGCGCCTCCACTCCGTCCCCCGCGGGTCTGCTCTGTGTGCCATGGACGGGTGAGTTGTGCCGCGCCCTGCTCCTGCTGCCCTTACAGCGGTCTGATTCAGTGTTCGTCGCCGCGTAGGCCTCCCCCGCCATTCCCGGTGTGCGCGCGGGCCTTTCGCTCCGCGTGGCGCGCGCTGGTCCCCGGCGGCAGGAGGCGTTCTGGAGGTGGAGGGGCCGTGCCCGCACCCTGTTCCTCCGGTCTCCGCCTGGCGCACTTCCAGCCCCTGCGTTCCCTGTCTACCGAACGCGGTCCCGTACCCACTCCACTTCCTCCCGCGGGCGGCCTTGGCGCCTTAGGGCCGACTCGCTGTGGCGCCGCGAGGCCCTTCCCGCTTCCCGTCTATTCCGCGCGCTCCGTCCGGAGCCGCGCGTGCGCGTGCGCAGCGTATTACGAGTTTCAGTGCGCGTGCGCGGCCATTCGCGGGGGCGCGCGCCTTTCCCGCCGCGCGGGCTCTGCCCGGGGACCCCGCCCGGTCTCAGCCCTACTGGCGGAGGCCTCACGACCAGGGAGCGCACAAGGATCAGCGCTAGGGTTAGGGTCAGGGTCGGGGTTGGTTCTTGCCCACTTTCGTGGGCAGGCGCATGTATGCAGTCTTTGGCCCAGTGCGGACCCGCGGTAGGCCAGCGGCCACTCCAGGACGCTCCCGCGTCTGCGGCCCTCCTGGGCGTTGAAGCCCAGGCTCCGCGGTGTTCGTTGTTCCTTGCATGTTTTCGGGAGGTTTTCCTTCGGCCCAGCATCTTGCTAAGGAATCTGTTGAAACTAAGTCAAGTGCGAGGGCGAGGACCCGCCACAGGGCTCCAGCCCCTTCGGCCGCGGGGCAGAGGCCTGGGGACAGTGGCAGGGGCCCGGCGACCACTGACTAAGTTATTAACCCGGCAGGCGTCGGTGAGTCACTTCTTTAGGACCTGCCATGAGTGGAGCATGCCACGTCGAGGCCCCTAGTTGTTGTGTTGAGGATTCAGAAGTAGAGATGAGGCCTCGGGACTCTGCAGGGACGGTTGCTTCCCGCCTTCCCTGCGGAGGGGAGAAAGTCCAGTCACGCGGAGCGGGGTTGATTAGTAACCTATGTCGTATCTTGGCAGGCCTGTTGATTTTCGTTAATTTTAACCGAGCATTCCAGCTGCCCCGCTCCACTCCAGCGGAAGTACTGGTTTCAGGGCCTGGCCTTGGCCTTCTGAGCCTCATTTTGTAGAAAGCCCTTGAACTTCAGCAGCAAGACTCAAGTCTTGAGGGGATGTCTTTTGTGTTTGGGCCTCTAATGCGCGTGCATAGGCCTGGGGTCCTGCTGGGTGGGAGGAGCGCTAAAGGACAATGATGGCCCCTTTTCAAGTTGAGATTAAATGGAAGGTTCACTTTCCTGCCTGCCCTTCCTTCCTAGCTTTGGCTGGCAGTGGCCCTCCCAAACTCTGAACCTGCTGAGCGCTGGCCTTGCTGACCTCTCTCTTTTCTCTCCACAGCATCGTCCCAGACATAGCAGTTGGTACAAAGGTAAGTGCTAGTTACTTGCTTCCTGCTTCAGCTGGGCCACCTCTGCCCTTGTGCTCATCCTTTTTCTGATACCTTTTAACCATGTTTCCTCCCAAAGGAGCTGTCTCCTAGAATGGATGGGGTGGTGGGAGGTGAGGCCTGTGGATGTGAGCTTGTGAGGTTGCAGGCCATTGGGAATTGGTTGACCACTCAGCTTATCATACCCTTCCTCTGGAGCAGAGCCTCTCTCTGTTCTGTTCTGAAGTTCACAAAGAGGGCATGGGCTCAATGGGATCCCAAGCACTTAGTAATTGGTTTGACATATGAAGCCTGTTTTATGGCACCTGGTTTTAGAAGAGCAAACTGCTTGGCCATCCGAGTAATCTTGCCCTTTTTTTTCCTCCCATGAATAAAACATCTGGAGGTTCTCCAGCTTCATGGGCACATGGGTGGTTTTGGTTTTGTTTTGATACAGGGTCTGTATTGCCCAGGCTGGTCTTGAACTTCTGGGCTTAAGTTACCCTCCTTTCCTGCCTCAGCTTTTCAAATAGTTGGCAGGAGAGTTCCTGCTCCCCTGCAGTTGGGCTTGAATGTTTAGGTAGTCACAGTAACCAGCTGTTCAGACCTTGGGGGACCAGATTGTGCCATAGAGAAGAGGAGGTGGACCAGGGAGGCAGGAAAGGTCTGGCTGGTTGAGGATCAGGCTTTCTGGCAGTTGGCTTACTCGTCTGCTCAGATACAGCTGGTGTTGGGGCTTCTTGTCCTCGGGGCTCTTCCACCTAGAGGCCACCATAGACTTGACTTCCCTGCTGGCATCTTGAGCGACAGCCAAGATGGTCAGTCCTGGTTCCTCCACTGTGTTTAGGTTTTGGTTTTCTCCAGCATATTGCTGTCTGCATCTACCTGCTCTGATTTTCCTACAGAGATAAACCTGTTTATGGGGGGGGGTAGGTAAGGGGGCACTTTGATCTGGAGCCTGTACTGGTGGAGGAGCATTTCCTAACTCCATCTTCATGGCCTCCTGCTCTAAGCACTTTCCTCCCCTGCCCCAGGGGCTCTTGTTCTTGCTCTGGTGGGTTAAGAGGCTTCTGCCATCTTGGAGGGTCAGGGATAGACTGGGGGGGTGGGGCAGGCTCAACCTGTGCACAGCCCTGGCATCTCTGGTCTTCCTTCATCCCAGAATTGCGGTAGACTGCTCCCTGAGAGGCTGGCTGGGCAGGAAGCCACTGTTGTTTAGGTGTAACCATTGGCTTGGGGTGGGTGGTGCACTGGCTGTGTACACCCCAGTCTAGGATGCCTTGTGCCCAGAAGCTGCCACATTGCCTATTCATTGGTACTTAGTTGATGCCCAGGAAGAACTTCTGTGGGCCTAGCCCAGCTACTTCCAAGTCTCTGTCCTGCTTGGCCTTGGCTGCCATTTGCATCAGGTGCTTGAGTCTGTCGGAACCCCAAGTGGGTGCCATTAACCTCCACTGATCATTGTATGTGCACCACCCTCCAAGGGAGAAGGCAGTTACGGGCTCCAAGCAGGCAGCCAAGAATGTGGGCTTCTAGCCCTGCCCTGCCCACCCCCACCCCAGGCAGAAACCCAGTGCCCCTTTAAAGGGAGTGTAGCAGGCACATGGGGGCCTGACCTGGTAGGTGGCTGGTCCCTGGCCCTTTGTGGGTTGAGGTGGGAGTGGCCATGAGCAGGAAATGACTTCCTGTGGCTTAGACACATGGATAGAAGGTTCTCAGCGGCTTTGCATCTGAGATCTGTTGCTCCACGGTGGTACTTACCTGGTTTCCTGTTAGCCCTCTCTGTCACCTTCATGGGCTACTAAAGACCTAGATTGAACTTTGAGCTTTCCCTGGTTCTGTGTTGTATCCTGCCTCTGAAGCTGCCTTGGGGTGGGTGTAGGTCCCCAGGGGTTGCCCAACCTCAGTCGCCAGCCTTCACAACTCTTTCTCTCTGCGGGACACAGGGTAGTTGTGGGATAGTTGGCTGGCATCACTTGTGCTGGTGGTGGCCATTCCTGACTCTTCTCTCCAAAGGCTACTTGGGGTTCTCCTTGAGCTTTTTCCATCCAGGTCCAAACCTGGCTGTTCTTGGTGGGAGGGGCACATGACTTTCGAAAGAGGTTTCCCTTCCAAGGTGACTCAGAGGACCAGAACTCCAACTCACCTGTGCTTGTGAGTGGCGGTGTAGTTGGTCCTTGGTGGGTGAGGTTCCCTGAGAAGGGATAGGTTGTCTAAGGGCTGATTGAAAGAGGAGGTAGGTGGTCCTGATCTGGGGCAGGTGATAGGACCTAGCCCTCAGTATGTCTGGAGGTAGAGGTTGCACCTTTGTTCACAGATGGCCAATCCCAGGTAAGTAAGAGGGGACCGGAGGTGCTGAGGGAGAGAGGGAGGAACTGGGCTCTGAGGTTCTTGAAGCTTCTGGCTAGGGGAGAAGTTAACACTGCCAGGGAGTTCCTGGGCTTTAGACCTGAGCTCTTGTCTCCTGGGTAACTGAGGACTATCCCAGCATCTCCAGTTTCACGTTCTCAACCTGAGTCTGTGTCCTGGAGCTTCAGCAGGGGGGATGTCTGGTCCTAATGTCATTCCTGAGGGTTGATTCCTAATGTTGGTTCCTGAGGGTTAAACTAATGAGCAAACACATTGTTTCTGAAGAGCAGGTAGCAGTCAGAAGTAAGGGGTAGCTTGGGAGCTCCCCAGGATGAGCAGTGCCTGGCTCCCACCCCCTGGCCAGTGCTGCCTGCCTGCTGCATAAAGGAGCAGTGTCTCATTCTCCCGAAAGGGTGACAAGGCTGAGGGTCGGGTTTCCTCAGGCAGCTGGAAAATAGGGCAGACAGGGACTGGAGAGCAAGGGAGGTGTTGTGGTGGAGCTTGATTTCTTTAGAAGCTGCTGGCAGGGCCACAGCCAGTGTAGGGAAGCTTGCTGCTGGCATGGGGCCCCAGTGAAGGTGGCCAGTAACAGCCTGGGGCTGTGTCCACAGCAGAGCTGGACATGGGAAGGGTATGAACAGAGTCCCTTGCAGGCAGCACCCTGCCCCTCCACCCCACCCTACCATGTCAGCCAAGCCCCAAACTCTTCTAAAGGTGGGAGAACAGTGGAGTGGTGTCTGTTGGGGTCTGATGAGCTGCACCTTCCTTCCCTTGGAGATTTTTGTTGTTGTTTGGGGTTTTTTAGTACTGGGGTTTGAACTCAGGGCTTCATGCTTGCTAGGCAGGCACTCTACCCCTTGAGCCACTCTGCCAGCTGGGTTGGGCTTTGCACTGGGAGCTGCTAAGTTATAGGGCAGTGCAGGAATAAAAGGGTGGTTTGAGGAGGTCTGGGACATGAAAGAGGCTGTGGCCTGTGGGATTTATGTTGCTCTTCTCTTTCAGCGGGGATCTGACGAGCTTTTCTCTACGTGTGTCACTAACGGACCCTTTATCATGAGCAGCAACTCTGCCTCTGCAGGTAACCCCTCACTCAGAGCCCCAGACCATTCTGTGGCCCTGCCCAGGCAGGCCCCAGTTGGTTTGTGGCTGTCTCTCCTCTTGCATTAAGATCATGTTGTTGTCCTAAGTGGGACTTGAGTTTATGCCTTCCATGGTTCAGACTGCTGTGGCCTAAGGAGGTCTTAGGTTAGTGAAATTCCTAGGGTGACATTTGACTGCTCTGCTGTGCACTTGGAATTGTAAGGGTGAATTTTTTGTTTATTTGTTTTTGGTTGTACTGGGGTTTGAACTCGGGATTTCACAGTTTGCTAGGAAGGTGCTCTACTGCTTGAGCCCTCCTGGAGTTACTAGTAAGCTTTTTTTTTTCTGCATGTGGGGTATTTTTGACATAGGATCTCTTCAAATCACAACCTTCCTAATCTCTGTTTCTGGATTAGCTAGGATTATAGGCATGATTCCCGGCACCTGGCTGGGGTCAATTTTTATAGATACTAATTGTTGCAATGTTGACTTTGAGCTTCCAGGTTCACAGGCATCTTCCCTGGGAACTGGAGGGTGGGGCTCAGAAGGGCAGAAGCAGAAAGGAGGCCACCAGGTGGGGAAGCTGGAACCTGCTCCATTCCTCTTTCAGCCAATGGAAATGACAGCAAGAAGTTCAAAGGGGACAACAGGAGTGCTGGGGTCCCCTCCAGAGTGATCCATGTACGCAAGCTGCCTGGCGATGTCACAGAGGGCGAGGTCATCTCCTTAGGACTGCCCTTCGGGAAGGTCACCAATCTGCTAATGCTAAAGGGGAAGAACCAGGCCTTCATTGAGATGAACACAGAGGAGGCTGCCAACACCATGGTCAACTACTACACCTCAGTGACGCCTGTGCTCCGTGGCCAGCCTATTTACATCCAGTTCTCCAACCACAAAGAGCTCAAGACTGACAGTTCCCCCAACCAGGCGGTATGTTTGTGTTGCTAATGGGTGGGGTGGGGGACCAAAAAGCTGTGGGACCTTGTGGGTTCAGAGATTCACGGTGGTAGTATCTCCACAGCGGGCCCAGGCAGCTCTGCAGGCTGTGAATTCGGTTCAGTCAGGAAACCTGGCCTTGGCCGCCTCTGCTGCCGCTGTGGATGCAGGCATGGCGATGGCAGGGCAGAGCCCTGTCCTCAGGATCATTGTAGAAAATCTTTTCTACCCTGTGACTCTGGATGTGCTGCACCAGGTGAGGCATGGGTGGGCTGGACTGCTGCTGAGCTGCATAGCCTACCAAGATTGAGGGGCTCACACCACCTGTCCTCCTGGCACCTGCAGATTTTCTCCAAGTTTGGCACAGTTCTGAAAATCATCACGTTCACCAAGAACAACCAGTTTCAGGCACTGCTGCAGTATGCAGATCCTGTGAGCGCCCAGCACGCCAAGCTGGTGAGTGGGGGGGTCCTGAGATGCCTGCCCTAAGGTGGAGCTGGGGCTGCTCTGCAGCTCACCCAGCTTCTCCCCACAGTCCCTAGACGGCCAGAACATCTACAATGCCTGTTGCACGCTACGCATCGACTTCTCCAAGCTCACCAGCCTCAATGTCAAGTACAACAATGACAAGAGCCGTGATTACACACGTCCCGACCTGCCCTCGGGTGACAGCCAGCCTTCGCTGGACCAGACTATGGCTGCAGCCTTTGGTAAGATGCCATCCTGATGTGTACCCAGTGTGTGTGTATGTGTGTGTGTGTGAGATCAGAGAGGGTGGCCATGTTGGCCTCTGTGATTCCTGGACATGGGTGGGGACAGGCTGCACAACTCAGTCAGCGCCCACAGGCCTCGGCCACTCCCTGCACGCCAACACTGCCCAGCCCAGCGTCCCCACATCCAGCCCTGGCCCCCCCTAGAGCAGCAGACCTGCCTGTGGATGCTCTCAGGTTTCCCTCACCAGGCTGGGCCCATCCTGCACAGGTGCTCGCGGTGGAGGTGTGGTGCAATGATTAGTGTCTGTTTGTTTCTAGGTGCACCTGGTATAATCTCAGCCTCTCCGTATGCAGGAGCTGGGTTCCCTCCCACCTTTGCCATTCCTCAAGCCGCAGGTATTCACACTTATCTTGACCCCAGCGACTGCATGCCCACACCAATGCCCACACCACCCTCCACAGAGCGCTGCTTCACGGGGCCCGACTGGTCACCGCCAGTGCCAGGTCACGGGACCCCTTCCTGGGAGGGGAAGGGCCGCAGGGGCAGCTGTGTCCATAGGCGGCCTAAATAGGGCAGGGCAGTCGGCAGACAGGGCAGGGCCAGGATCCCACATCAGATGTGGGCGCTGGTGAGAATCTGCTAACTGCACAGTCTTTGGTCTGGTTCCCTTCAAGCACCTTGGGCGAGGACGAGGACGCAGTGTGTGGAGGGATGTGTCCCTAGTAGATTGAATTTAATTGGCCCGGTAAGCAAGTGGCCTCTGAGGCTGAGGAGCATGGGCCAGCGGCAGCACGTGTGCACTGTGTGGCCACGGGCGCAGCTGTGCAAGCCGCGTCTGCATGGAGGAATGTGCGCACGGCCATGGCGTGTCCTGTGGCAGGCCCTGCTTGCAGAGGGCTCATGTCTGCATTTATGGACCGGAGCTTTTGTGCTGTTGGCGCATGCAGACCAGTCCACACCCTGGCACATCTTGGTGCTATGTGAGGAGATGGGTGTGATGGTAGAGCCGCCGGGAGACAGTGTGGCCGCAAGTGGAGCTGAGTGAGCCCACGCACCTCGCCTGGGGCTAAAGCCAGGCGCCACTTACCGTGGCTCCTTGTGCATGAGGAGGGGGCATCTGCACCCTCTTGGTGACAGAACGAGCTGCTAGTGCTCACTTCCTGATGGCACTTTCCTTCCAGGCCTTTCCGTCCCTAATGTGCATGGAGCCCTGGCCCCACTGGCCATACCATCAGCAGCTGCTGCAGCTGCAGCAGCAGGCCGCATTGCCATTCCGGGCCTTGCAGGAGCTGGAAACTCTGTCCTGTTGGTCAGCAACCTGAACCCTGAGGTATGTGGGTCTTTTCCTTCCGGGCCCTTTTCCTGGAGCAGCAAATGGGGGTGTTGTGCTGGGCTTTAGGGCCTAGTGGCCACACTGGACGACAGCAGGTGGAGCTCTGGAGTCCTGATCAATGGCCTCCCCAGGCCATCTTGAGTGTCACCGCCTTACTCTCCAATCTGCTCCTTTATCGCGACCTTGCTCACATTTATCCTCCTTGCGAGATGGCTCTGAATTTTCCTGTTTCCCTAACGTCTTGATTTGCATTTTCAGTCCTGTAATATTCAGAGTAAAATTTTTTTTCTTTTTAATGAGCGCAGTCTAAATTGGGGATCAGCATAGGAAACCCTGGGCAAGCAACCTGGACATGGGTGTCAGCTATTGAGAGCTGAATGTGCTCTTGAACTTGGCTCTTGGTGAGCTTGAATGGGATGACAAAGGCTCAAAATTATCTAGCTCTTGGTTGGTGGGATCGGCATTTAATGGCACCTCCTTGTCTGTCGCTCCTGTGGCTTTCTGAGACTCAGGGCAGGTTAACGTCCTCCAGTTCCCTGTCTCCTGTGGTGAGTGCACTGTCCATCCAGCTGACCTGAGCTTGGTCCCTCCAGGAGGCAAAGAACTAACAGGCTCCTCACTGCCTCATAGTCATTTTAGATTGAGCTGCATAGCAGCTGCAGGTCTCATGTTGCCCAGTGGCCTGGCCCAGCGCTGAGACAGTGCGTGGTGCCTTCCTTAGCTAGCGATGGGCCAGCCTTCCAGTATGGTCCCACACCTATATGTAGCTGCTTCTCCTTTATGGCGTGTTCCGCCAGGTGGAGCGTTGAGTGGTGTGTGTTTGTGTGTGTGTGTGTGTGTGTGTGTGTGGTGCGTGACTGAGGGAACACTGCCTTATTTTCTTATGTATTTACTGACCTGTGTTTTTTGCTACTTTTTTTCTTTTCTCCCCTTCCCCTTTCCCAATTTTTTTTCTTGCCCTGATCCGGAATTTCTTTGCCAACTGACTGCACGGTTCTTCTGCTTCCTGTTGTTGCTTGAAACAAACAAAACATAAATAAATAAAAACAAAACTCCCCCCTCAAACCCTGCTCTCCGGAAACCAACCTGCCCTTGAATATTAACATCCTGACAACTTCATCATCCGTCAACCTGCTCGCCTGCGGGGACTGTCTCCTCGTGGTGGACGATTGGCACCTCGCCCCCCTGACCTCTCCCTCTCCCCTGTCCCCTCGCTGCCTTGCTCTGCTGTCCTCTAAAGAGAGTCACACCCCAAAGCCTCTTTATTCTTTTCGGTATGTTATTCACACTTTTATTACCTTGTTTTCGTTTAATTGAGATTATTTTACGCCCTGCGATTTACTCATAAGTTTGCAGTTTGGCATTCTGATGCACCATGGCATTCTGCCTCTTTACATGGTTTGCTTCCAGTTTGCGTATTGTATTTGATCATAGACACGCATGTTTACCACCCTGCATGCTTCTCCAAGAGTTAAGCGTGTCAGTAGCATGCGAAAGTGGTCGTTCTGACAGTTACCTGTCTGGAGTTCATGACTTGGCTGAACATAGCATCCTGTTAACGGCCCTGAGCTGCTAGACGCAGAATAAGCAAACCCAGTTGGCTGAGTGGAGCCTTGAGGGGAGTGTAGGGGTGGGGGTTGGGCTGCTGGGGAGGCCAGTGAGGCTGCAGCAACTGAGAGGCCCTCTTGTCCTTGGGCTTTTGAAGGCGTCTATGGTGACGTGCAGCGAGTGAAGATCTTGTTTAATAAGAAGGAGAATGCGCTGGTGCAGATGGCTGATGGGAGCCAGGCTCAGCTGGGTAAGAGGCCTGGGGCCCAGGGCCAGGAGCTGGGTGGGGGGCTATGTCCACTGGGCCACCAGTCACGTGTCTGCCCACTGTTCCCAGCCATGAGCCACCTGAATGGGCATAAGCTGCATGGGAAGCCTGTCCGCATCACCTTGTCCAAGCACCAGAGTGTGCAGCTTCCACGTGAGGGCCAGGAGGACCAGGGCCTTACCAAGGATTATGGCAATTCACCACTGCACCGCTTCAAGAAGCCTGGCTCCAAGAATTTCCAGAATATCTTTCCGCCCTCAGCAACCCTGCACCTCTCCAATATCCCGTGAGTTGGCCTGCAGGGTGTGGGGCTTAGCTAGCAGCCCAGAGCCAGGTGTTACTTTTTTTTTTCCTCTAGAACAGGGCCTACACCTTGAGCCCTACCTCACCAGCTCCTTTTTGTGAAGGATTTTTTTTCAGATAGGGTCTTTCAAACTATTTGCCTAGGCCGGCTTTGAACTTTGATCTTCCTGCTCCTGAGAAGCTAGGATTAGAAGTGTGAGCCCTGCCATAGTCAGGTCCATTGCCTAGTTCACAGTTCTTCAACAACTCAACTCACGTAACACTTGTTTTTTGTGTTTTGAAGTTGCTAGGCATGGAATCTAGGATTCCCCTTCCTGGGTCAAGTTGGTGTCCCATTCATGGAGTCACACCTAGCTTTGTTTTTTGTTTTTGTTTTCTTGATTGTATTGGGGCTTTAACTTAGGACTTTTCACTTGCGTAGCAGGTATTCTATCTCTTGAGTCATAAGTCCAGTTAACACCCCAGCCTTTGACACTTAACCCAGACAAAAGTGAGTGAGGGTTGGGGCATTATTTTGAATAACATTCAGTGTCCATTTTCACAGAAGCCTTGGGGAGTCTCAAGTCTGCTATGGACTTGACTGTGTCCTCCCAAATGTCTTTGAGTGCTGGGATTCATTAAGCATGCCTGTCTGATATTGAAGGAGGGTGGTACCTCTGTGGATGAAACCTAGGGCCTGATAACCAGCATTCTACCACTGAGCCACACTCCAGCCCTTGTGTCTTCCTGAGGCTGTGTACAGACCATTGGACATCTCTAAGTGCTCCCAGGTGCATGGAGACCATGCACATACAGGTGGCACTCACACTGTATCTCCACAGGCCCTCCATATCTGAGGAAGACCTGAAGATCCTCTTCTCCAGCAATGGAGGTGTCGTCAAGGGGTTCAAGTTCTTCCAGTGAGTACAGCCACCTTCTGCCCGGCCCTACCTCAACATCCACATCTCACCCCACCACCCCTGACCCCATCCCTCCCTTGCAGGAAGGACCGCAAGATGGCGCTGATCCAGATGGGTTCAGTGGAAGAGGCAGTGCAGGCCCTCATTGACCTTCACAACCATGACCTGGGTGAAAACCACCATCTGCGTGTGTCTTTCTCCAAGTCCACCATCTAGGTGCCTGGTCAGGCTCCCTGGCCACAGCTTCCACCATTCCAGAAAACAGCCACTTTAAAAAGCAGCTGAAGTGACCTTAAACAGACCAGAGACTTTATTTTTTTAAAGAGAAATCAGTTTACCTGTTTTTAAAAATTAAATCTAGTCCACCTTGCTGACCTTGCGGTGACGGGTCTCCCGCCTGGCAAGGCCCAGGGCCGTGCCTTGTGGGGCGTGAGGCTGCAGTGGGCACCCCAGACCACATTGGCTTCTTGTGCCTTAGAAACCTGCCTGCCTTGCGGCTGCACGATCACTACAGGCACTTGGGAACCCCACTTGGGGTCCTGATCCTCACGCAGGATCATGTGCCCCATGCTGGGCTGGAGCCAAGGCTGACCAACCTCCTCCCTTTTAATCAAGTGATGTGATTCTCCCAGAGTCCCTAGCTGCCCATCCCACTGCCCCTCCCTGCCCAGAGGGCTCCAACCCATTGCTGCCTCAGCTGTGGAGCCTCTCCTAACCTTTGTATTATACTCCAATGCGGTCGCAGAGATCTGTGCCTAGCAATATTTCCAGTTGACCAAATATCCTAATCTTTTTTTCATTTATATGCAAGAGACATAGTTTTAAGTAACTTTTTATAGCGAGATGATACAATGGTATGAGTGTAATCTAAGCTTCCTCCTTGTGGTATTACCTTGTATGCTGTACTTTGTACTCTGTTTCTTATAAGTCACAGGCAGGATCCAGGCCTCAGGAGCAGGTGGCCGGCTCACGTAGGCGCAGGGAGCCTGGTCCTCAGCCCTGCTTCCTGCTGAGTCTCCGGTTGCCTTACCCCAGTCTCCATTTGCAGTCTGCCTTGAAAAACAAGCTCTGAACCTTTCAGAGGTTTTTCCTTCAAATTTTGGACCAAAGTTTTGTTTGTTTCTTGTCTGCCTCTGACACTGGGGTCCCAGGTGGCGGGACTGACATCTTGGTCTTAAATGCTCCGCAATTCAACCTGTCCCCAGCAAAGAGAGATGTCCTTGGATCCCAAGGTTCCATAAAGGAGTGTAGCAAGGGTGTAAATATTTATAATTTTTTTATACCTGTTGTAAGACATGGAGGCAGCACATCGCGGTTTTTTATGGTGACAGATGTATATTTTGATACCAGCAATTACAGGCTCAGTATTGTCCGTGGAGCCAACACTGGCCACAGCACATTCCACTCCCATCCCAGATGGCTTGTAATGCGGAAAGAGCTCAATTAAAACTGTTTTATAACAAACCTGTGCCTTCCCCGTAGCCCTTTCTTGCTGTTTGACACTGTAGAAGGCATCTGCTCATCTGTACTTGGACTTGGAATAAACTCCTGTGTCCTGCGCCTCTGACCTCCTCCTCATTGGGCCTGTTTTGTCTTTGCTGCTGTTTACTCTGAATTTCACCCTTTGTCCTCTCCCCTGCTTCTCCCAGTTTCTGGGGAACGTGAGCCTGCACTGGTGGCTGCTGACCACTGGTGTCCAGTGAGTCTCACCTGAGCCTGGCAGGCAGTGGGTCTTGGGGAGGATATATATCCTCAGCCTGTCAGCTTCCCCTGAGGACAGGAGTCATCAAGGTACCTGTAAAATGGAAATGAGCAAGAATCCTGCAGCCACCTGGTGGCCTGAGCCAGACAGGCCAGTCCACCTCTGCTTTTTGCCTGCAGCTGGCCTCACCAAAAGACTAGCCTGATGTCACCAATCACCTTTTTTGCCTTTATTAATGAGCACTAACCACTCAGGCCCTCACCCACCCACATCCAGTTCTCCCTGCCTGCCCTCCCCCCACCCCCATCCTGTAGGCACTCTGGCCCTGTCAGGTCAGTCCTGGAACCTTCGGGCCTGCATCCTCCTATAGTAACTCTCTGCTTCCGCCTCTGCTGCCTCCCGCTCCCCCAGTCCAGGGGCCACCTGTCTACGCAGTGTTGACTCGCGGCTGGCTGGGCCCAGTGCTCCGTCACCTGTGCCCAGTGGAGGTAGCCCCTCACCTGTGACCAGGTTGACAGTGGCCACGACACCAAAACGTGGTTCTTCCTGGTCCACATCACTGACTGAGGAGCCTGGGGATACACCTGGTGGCTTGGGCCCACCTCGGAAACTGCGGGCTAGGTCCCCCAGCTCATACCCACCTTCACCCTCCACCCCCTTGGCCCCACTGCCCATGGCCTTCCACTCCCAGGGTGTGTTGCCTGAGGACAGGTGGACCACAGGGTGGTGAGGTGCATGGGCATCAATGGTGACAATGCTGGCTGAATCACGGTCTGATGGTGACCGGTACTGGGAGGAGTCGGAGCTGGCACTGGAGGATGAAGCTGTCTCAGCAGCTTTGGGGCCAGGCCCGCCTGGGGCCTTGGACATGGCAATCACCTGCAACAGCCGTGGTGGGTTGGCCATTCGGGGCTGTGGTGGAGCTGAAGCTACAGGGGCCCCACCCTTTTCAGCCATCATGAGCCACTTAGCACGTACTGCAGCACTACTCTTTGGGGACAGACTGGCCCCTGCCTGCACCCCCTCCTCTGGAATGTGCACGAGTGGCTGTGGCCCTGGCCGTGGAGGGAGGATGACACGGGGCCCGAGCCCCGGCCGCGCCTGCACTGTGGGGTAGAGCGAGGGTGGGATGGGCCTTTCCACGTCCTCCTCCTCCTCCTCCTCTTCGTCCTCTTCCTCTTCCTCCTCCTCCTCCTCCTCTTCCTCCTCCTCTTCCTCCTCTGCCATGGGCTCAGCAGGTGCCCGCAGGTGTACGGGGCTGGCCTCATCAGGCAGCCCCAGTCCACGGCCTTCCAGCGACTTCTGCTTCCACTCGCTAATGAGCTGCTTGGAGCGTGATGCGTCAAGCGGCACATGGATGGTCATATGGCGGCGGGCAGGGTCGTCAAGGGAGGGTGTGCTGACACGTGGCAGGGTGTTGCTGAAGGTCACCATGTTCTCCTTGCCCATAGGGCTTCGTGGTGCCAGCAGGTCCACGTCCACACTGGCCCGCTTCAGGCTACCAAGTGATGTCTTCTCCCGGGCCACAGGCCGGGGCACACCCTCCAGCCGTCCTGGTGGGCCCAGCTCATCAGTGCTCACCGACTTGTTCTGGTAAACTGAGTCATGGCCCCGCTGGGTCAGAGCCCTCAATGCATCCTTGGTAGGGGCTGGAACAGCAGGTTTCTCTGCGGGTGGGGCTTGGAAGTTGCCCACTGCGTGGCAGGCCTGGGGGAACACAGGTTCAGTGTGAGGTTGGTGACCTCCTGGAGGCAGGAGCCTGAAGGTGGTAAAGGCAATCATTTCCCAGTGGGCAGACCCTTGCCTCACAGTCACTGCAAGGTTGACAAGTCTGCACCAGGCGCCGACTCCCCATCCCCAGGGCAGATATGATACACAGAACCCCAGGGCATGGTCACCTTCCCCCCTCAGACCCTGGGGCAAGGCTGTCAGACTCCACAGGGCACTGTTGCTTCCCCTCTCAGACCAGGGGCACAGCCACTTCCCCTTTGTCAGATCTCAGGGCTGCCAGTTGCCCCCTCAAACCTTGGGTCAGAGCCGCCTCCCCTTTCAGGCCTCCTCGGCAGCCAGATTCCCCCATTCAGAGCCCCTTGGAGGCCAGCCTCCCCTAAGGCTCCTTTGGTGGCAAGCCTCCCCCTTTAGGTTCCCTTAGAGGCCAGCCTCCACTCAGTCCCCAACCACTCACTAGGTAGGCAGCGATGCCAGCCCCGATGAGGAAGCCGGCGTAGACGTCCACGGGGTGGCTGCGGTACTGGGTAATCTGTGTGAGACCACAGACGCCCGCAGCAATGGCGAAGGCAAACACCAGGATGGGCTTCAGAAGCTTTGTGGTGTCCGAAATGACTGAATTGAAGTACATCTGGGGGTGGGCGGGGGCGGGCAGTGAGACTGTGGCCACATCCCCCTGGGTGGGCCAGCAGTGGCTTGTGGGCAAGGCTGTGGGGACTGAACTCACCGACACATAGACTGCTGCAAAGGCTGACAGTGTGGCATGCTGGGACGGGAAGGTCTTCCTGTAAGAGCAGACAATGTGAGCCCCGCTGCTGGAGGGCTCTGTGCCTCAGTTTCCCCATATGCTCACTGTGTGGCAGAGCAGGTGGTGCTCCTACCCTGGGGCTGGGGCCCAGCTCACCGTGCGGATAGGATGGCATGGGTGTCGTGGCCAGAGCAGATGTCCTGGGTGATGTACGGATTGGCCTCGCAAGATGTGCCCAGGAGGGTATAGTTCGGCTTGCAGACAGTGAGGAAGAAGGGCGCATGGTAGCCGGTGGCCAGCTGGATGACATCAGTCACCAGGGCCGTGGCACAGAGCCCAAACACATGGACACCTGTGAGGTGGGAAAGTCAGGGCCGGGCAAGGGACCTGGGAGTCTGAAGCCCTGGGCATGGACTTCAGGGGAGGAGCAAGGTGTCATCCAGCAACTCACCCACAAACCGCACAGTACGCCTCAGGAAGGAGTTGAAGTTGCAGCCGCCAGCATTGATGCTGCCCTCTGCCCCGCCGGGGCCCCCACCGTGGCCCCACAGCCGGGACTGCAGGCAGTAGAGCACACCCTCGCCAACCATGATCTGCCCAACAGGGGTGTTCCATGCTCAGGCCAGCTCTCTCAGAAAAGCACCCAGCCTCAGACCTCTGCCCGAGCCCTGCACAGTACTCACTGAGGCCGCAGGGGCCGCAAAGGCCAGGCTGAGCAGCATGAGAAGCGGGATGAGCTCCTCGTGGGTCTCCACGTAGGGCATGGACAGTGTGCGATCATAGCACTGGAAGCCCACCTTGGCTGGCTTGAAGAGATCCGTCAGCTCCAGGAAATACAGGGACACAATGGACGACGCCACAATGGGCAACTGTGGGCAGACAGCAGAGCAGGGTCACCCCCACTTCCTCACCCAGTCACTGCCCATCCTGCCATGGCTTCAGCTGTGTACATTGTCACTCACCCAGTTGTGCTTCCCATCCACAGGTGCAGCTGGTGTGGCCCTTCCACACCCACAGATCACTTCAGCAGTTGAGGGGTTCCTCAACCCACCATCCACCCACCCACTCACCCATTCACTCATTCATCTGCCCATACACCATCTATTCATCCATTCACCCACCCACCCATTCATACACACATGAATACATTTATCTATCCATCCACCCATCCATCCATCCAATCATACATACATTTATCTATCCATCTACTTGTCCACTCATTGATTCACCCGTCTGTCGACCCACCCACCCATCCATCCATCCATCCCATCCATCCATCAATCCATTCACTTATCCATCCATCCACCCACCCAACCAACTACTTACCCATCCATCCACTCACCCGCCATTCACCTGACCATACATACATACATTAATCTATCCATTTACCCATCCAACCACCCGCCTATTTACTCATACATACACACATACATTTATCCATCTGCCTATCCACTTATCCATCCACCCATCCATCCACCAACTCATCCACCCACCACACATCTACCATCTACACATACCTACCTACCTACCTACCTACATCTATCCACCCATCCACCTGTCCACCCATCTACCAACTTATTCACCCATCCATCCACTTCCTCCCATCCACCCTTGGTTTCTTATCCTAGAAACAACAAACACATCCCTGTCCCTGTGCCCCTGGTCTAAGCTGTGCTTCCCTTAAACACTTACTTGGGTGCCGGCCCTCCTCAGAGAGGCCCTCCCTGAACACCATTCCTCTGTCCTTGGGCTGCTTTGTTTTGTTTCCTCACCCCCACGTGGCAGTCAACCACACAGCCCCAAAAAGGCTTCGGCATATGATAGGTGCTGAATGAATGGAAGGTCTGTGGCCCCTCATTCATGCCTCTGCCCTTTTCCCGCAACCTGGCCATGTGCCCCACGTGCTGGGCCCAAAACACTATGTGACATTTCCTTTTTATTTATTTATTTTTTTTTCCCAGTACTGGTGTTTGAACTCAGAGCCTTCACCTTGAGCCACTCTACCAGCCCTTTTTTGTGGTGGATTTTTTTGAGATAAGGACTTGTGAATTGTTTTCCTGGGCTGGCTTCCAACCACAATCCTCCTGATCTCTGCCTCCTGAGTAGCTAGGATTACAGGCGTGAGCCACTGGCACCTGGCACTCATGTCATTTCTGATCTCCCACCACCCTGTTAGTACAGACCCGGTATCATTGATCCCTTTTACGGGGGGGGAAACTGAGGCTTGGGAAAGCTTGCCACTGAGCTCAGGGTAGAAATCCCATGGAGGCAGCAGGGCAGGGTCAAGAATTCAAGCTGGGAGCCTGGGCAGGGGACAGAACGTATTGGACAAGGCAGGTTCCAGGGTTGGGTTTGTGTCCAAAGAGCATTTATTGAACACCTGCTGCGAGGTCCAAGACAGTGGGCCAGACTTGAATCCTGCAGCTGCCACACACTTTGGTTTTCTCAGCTGTAAAATGGGAATAAAAAAGGAGCCACTTCCTGGGACTCAGATGTGAGAACTGGATGGCACATACACAAAAAGTGTTTAGAACAGGACCAGCACAAAATGGTGCAACTATTCCTGCTGTTATTGTCATCAGCACGATTTGGTGGCTTGGGCAGCCAGCTTCAAGCCACAGGAAGGGTTTGCAGTGGGGTCCTGAGCACAGCCTTAAAAATATCAAATCCTAGCCGAGCCAGGTGGTATGCATCTGTAATCCCAGCACTCAGGATGCTGAGGCGAGAGGCCAGCCTTGGCTACATGACAAGACCGTCTTAAAAAAGAAAAAAAGGTTTCTAATTTAGGGTACTTCCACTTATGATGTACTCCCACACCACTGGTTTTTCTTTTTGTGGGGGTGTACTGGGGTTTGAATTCAGGGCCTACACCTATACCTTGAGTCACCCCCAGTCCTTTTTTGTGATGGTTTTTCAAGATAGGGTCTCGTGAACTATTTGCCCAGGCTGGCTTCAAACTGCGATCCTCCTTATCTTTGCCTACTGAGTAGTGAGGATTACAAGTGTGAGCCACTGGCACCCAGCACAACTGTTGTTTTTCACTTTTGGTACAGTGTTCGATGATAACTTACATGAGATATTCAACACCTTGTTCTAAGTCAGGCTTGTGTGAACTGACTTTGTCATACCATGGGCTAAGCTAAGTGAACTGAACTCGGTCTACATGGCTGGGCTGAGCTAGGATGGGCAAGTTCTGTGTGTGTGTGTGTGTGTGTGTGTGTGTGTGTGTATTTATCTTGCAACACTGGGACTTGAACTCAGGGCCTTCACCTTAAGCCACAACTCCAGCCCTTTTTTGTGATGGGTATTTTCAAGATAGGGTCTCGTGAACTGTTCAACCAGGCTGGCTTTGAACCTCGATCCTCCTGATCTCTGCCTCCTGAGTAGCTAGGATTACAGGCATGAACCACCTGTGTGCAGCAGTTCTGTCGATTTTTAAAAAATGTTTTAACAGTACTGGGGTTTGAACTCAGAACCTACCACTTACAAGGCAGGTTCTCTATCACTTGACGCATGCCCTTATCTCTTTTTTGCTTCAGTTATTTTTCAGATAGGGTCTTGAGTTTTTGCTCGAGCCCAGCCTTGGGTCACAATCCTCCTACCTTATGCCTCCCAACTGCTGGGATTACAGGATCACACCACACCTGGATTATTTGTTGAGATGGGTCACAATAACTTTTTACCCAGATTGACCTTGAACCACATTTCTCCCAATCTCTGACTCCCAAGTAGCTGGGATTGCAGTCATGAGCCACGCCACCTGGCAGTTGGGTGTATTATATGCATTTTCACCATATGATATTTTCCACTTGCAAGGGTTTATTGGGCCCCGTACTAAACGGAGGAATATCTGTACTCCTCCACTAAGGCAAATCTAAATTAGAACTGCAATTCAGGTTTTCACTCACAGATTGGTCAAAATCCAAAACGTTGCTCACACACGGGTACCGGGTGAGGCTGTGGGTGAACACTTGAACTGGCATGCACAACTCTGCAGGCTCCCCCTGTGGAGAAGGTTCAGGGGTATATCTTCCAAAAGAACTGTACCTTTCTCCTCTGAAGACCCACTCTTCCAGCACTTATCCTACACCAAGCTCACTGCTGGATGGATGATACGGGAATCCAGGAACCTTCTTAGAAGGATATCTATGATGATGAAGGCCAGGAAACACAGAAAGTGTTTGCTACTGGGAGGCAAGAGTACTACACAGCAGGGAAAAGGACTGGACACCTTACATAGGTCATTAAGCCAAGGACTTGGCTGGAAAAAAGCCCTTGTATTTAAGAACAGAACCTTGTGTTTAAAAAATGGGGAGAAGGGTCTAGAGGCATGGCTCAAGTGGTAGAGCAGTTGCCCCATAAGCAAGAGCTCTGAGTTCAAACCCCAATACCAAAAAAAAAAAAAAAAATCTAGAAAGAAAGTCTCAGTGGCGAGTGCTTGCCTGGCATCAGGAAGGCCCTGGGTTCCATCCCTAGCACCAAAAAAATTTTTTTTAATGGAGACAGGCACCAGTGGCTCATGCCTGTAATCCTAGCTACTTGGGAAACTGGGATTCAAGGATCAACGTTCAAAGCCAACCATAGGCAAACAGTTTGCAAAATCCCATATTTTGGATTGGAGGTGTGGCTCCAGAGGTAGAGTGCCTGCTTTGCAAGCTTCAAGCTGACTTCAAACCCCAGTCCCACCAAAACAAACAAGCAAACAAACAAACAAAAAACAGTGGCTGGGTGCTGGTGTCTTGCGCCTATAATCCTAGCTACTCAGAAGGCAGAGACCAGGAGAATCGAGGATCAAGCCAGACCTGGCAAACAGTTCAAGAGACCCTATCTTGAAAGAACATCACAAAAAAGGGCTGGTGGAGTGGCTTCAGGTGAAGGTCCTGAGTTCAAACCCCAGTACTGAAAGAACAAACAAACTAAACAACGATGAGGAGGGGGAGAGCAGAGGGGCTGCAGGGATGGAGCTGCCTCCACCTTGACTTGGGGAAGGGACAATCAACCTATTGTCATGGGAACAAAAATGCCATGCTGAAAAACAAGCATTTTCTACAAGCCATGTAGGTAACAGTTAACACTGGCTACTGGTAAGAAACCCACCTAGGATGCATCTGGACTCCAGCCTGGCCCAGGGCTTCAGGACTCAGTCTGGCTGTTAGCTTGGATGGGAGCACAACCTCCACCAGGGCCCCTAGTCCCCTCCTAGAGCCAGGCTTTTCTGGCAGGCTATCCAAGGAGAGACAAACATCTCCCTTCACCACCCTAAGCACTTAGTAAGCACCAGGTGGCTGCATTTATTGTCTTCCATTTTTAGAACAGTCCTAAGCCTGCACCATGTGGTTGGCCAGCTCTAAGCTTCCTAAAGGTTCATTTGAAGACCAGGTAGCTGTGATCCAGGGAGACAGGGGCGTGTCACCAGCACTCACACTCACCTCAGGCCTCAGATCCAGGTGCACAGCTCCCAGCCCCACTCCTTCTGGCCTGACCCACCCCAGGCCAGATCCTCGCCTGTGCCCTTGCTGACAGCCCCACTTCCCAGCAGTCACCCACACTGTTCCCATAGCTCACAACACCAGTCTGTGACTCTGGAACTCCTACTCAAGCAGCAAAGCCCGTCACCTCTGTCCCACCCCCATCCCCCACCTAGTCTTAGTGCCCTGGTTCTGCCGGCCCCATGAGGCTGGGGACAGGGATGCCTTCCTGGCTCCCCAGGAGCGGGGGGGGGGGCATCTGAAGCGAGACAGAACAGAGGCCTCTCCCTGGCACCACCACCGTGGCCCCCACGCACCTCCACGAAGTAGAAGCAAGGCAAGAGCGTCATGCTGTCCTTCGGGGCTTTATTCTTCTCCTTGGTGGAGATCATGATGCCACGGGCGCCACAGGCCGTGGTTGGAGGGGGACAAAGCCGCGTTGGAGAGGAGGACTCGCAGACTCAGCTCTGGGGTGACCCAGTGTCTGGCGCCGGTGGGGAAGGTGAGGGGAAGAATGCACAAAACAGCCCAGGGAAACTGAGGTGGAGAGGAGGGCGACCCCGGGGCCTCCGCGGATGCCCAGCGGCCCTGCTTGATGATCGTGCACTCGAAGGGGGATCGGGAGGGACTCCGCGAAGAGGGCGGCACCCGCCCGGCCTGGGGGTCGCGGTTCGCGGAGGAGCGGGATCCGCGTCCGCCCGCAGCCCCCTCACCTGGCGCGGCCGGTGCGGGAAGGGCGGAGCTGGCGGCGGGGGCTGCGGAGGCGCCGCAAGCACAAAGCGCGGCCCTCCGCGGGGCGGGGCGGGGCGGGCGGGCGGGAAGGGGCTGCGGGTCTCGTATGAGCCAAGACCCCGCAAAGGCCTGGGCGTGGGGCGCAGAGCGGGGGCTCTTTGTCTGCGCGCGTCGGAGGCGCCGCGCGCGCGTGCGTCTCCCGCAGGCCGGGCCTCGGGCGCGCCGTCCGCGCCCCTGTCCCCGCCCCCGGCTCCGGCAGCAGCAGCCGGAATCCCGGTATCGGGGTCTGGGCCACAAGGGGGGCGGGGCCACGGATTCCCTCTGTGCCACTCCTGGCGCCTTCTGCGCGCCTTCCGCGCTCGGGTCCAGCGGCGCGCGGCAGGGCGGGGTCTAGGTTCGGGGTCTCGGACTAGCTCTGTGTCTCACGGTCTCTCTGTCCCTTGTCCCCACACCCCGCATCGCGACCCCCGCGGCCCCTGTGCCCGCTGCTCGCCGGCGCCGGTTTCCATGGCAAGCTCCGTGGGCGCCCAGACGATCCTAGACAAAGAGGGGGGGCGAATTGAGAGGTGGGCGGGGGACTCGCCCTCTCTCCCCTCTCTTCCTTTCTCTTCTCTCTTCCCTCCCTTCCATTTGCCCACTCGGCCTATTCTCTTCATTCCCTGTGGTCTTTGAGACCCTAGCTGGGGCTTCGGGCTCGGGATGAATTAACTGGCTCGGCACTTAGGCTTGCTGTCAATGCACACAGCCCTATGGAGTAGGGACAGGCTGACATCCATTTTTCAGATAGGGAAACTGAGGTCTGGGCAGCATAGGTCACTGTCCAAATTTGCCAGGTCCCAAAAGACAGGATTTTATTTTGTCCCTTTAATTCCCATCTCCTGAGCACCTCCTTGAACGGTGGCTGGTGGGTGACCCATGAGGAACTGAGGCAGAATATGACTATGGGGTGGGGGGTGGGGGGGCTGCACTCATTGAGCTACTGTTTGCAGCCTCTGCTCTTTACTCCCACTCAGCCCTTCCACCCCATCCCTCCCAGATCTTGCCCTTTTTGTGTCTTTGTTCCTTTTAGTCACAATATTTTTCTCAAACTGACTCATGTTTTCAGAGACTCATCTCCATGTTTTCAAAGATTTTCTGCCTGGTAACCGTGTGTTCCTCAGGTTTGGAATTCTGCTTCTGGCCTCAGTCCCCTGGCCTGTCATTGAGAAAAGCAGACACTTCTGCCCCACAGAGGACAGCCCAGCCACCTGCCGCAATGGGACAACAGCAAAATGGCAGCAAGTTGGAAGCAGAAGGTGGGATACCCTAGGGGGAATTTGGGGCTGCCCAGACCCAAGGGCATTGCCATCCACTCAACACCCAGTGACAAGAGAGGACCACCTGCCTGGGGACTATCATTGGCTTGTTTCCTGCCCTGAGACTTTGGAGGCCTGGCTAGCCAGCACAGATGGGTCCCACTCAGGTGTGATGCTGCCTCTCCTCTCTGTGGCCCAGGGCAGTGAACCCTGAGACTGGCCCCCTGGCTGTGCATTGGGTCTCAGTTTCCCCCATCAACTAGCAGAGGAGGAGCCTGGGCAGCCGTTGGGAATCTTGGTGTTGAAAGAAGGCCACAAACAGCCTTTAGAGGAGGAAGAGGAGGAGGAGGAGGAGGAAGAAGAGGAGCAGGAAGGTGGGGCAACAACTCCTTGGTGCCTGGCTGGGGGAAGGGTGCTCTCGAGGTCTCCTGACATTGAGGCCAGGAGAGGGAATGAGGATCATCAGAATCAAGAGTAGAGGTCCTCCTTCCTGCCAGATCCCTGGTGACGGGGATCAGGCAAGTGGCCATGGTGGCTGCATGACCCAGACAAGGGGCCTGGGCTTCAGCAGGAACAGGAGAGTTTTAGACCAGGGCAGGGCAATTGAATGTGCCAGATGCACAGATATGGGTCCACTTAGGACTCAGCACAGTTCATGTCCCTGTAGTGCAGATGGAAAAAGTGTGGCACAGAGAGGAGACCACCCTGAGGGCACCCACCTGGAAAAGAATAGAGCCTCTGGTACCAGAGTTCATGAGGACCTCTGTGCTCTGGGGAAGATGGCCAGCAAGGGGCAGATGGAAGAAGTGGGACTGAGGAGAGGTGAGACCAAATACAGGAGAACAGGAAGGTGAGATTCGGGGTGAACAGGAAGGACCAGATCCAGGCAGCCTGAGGTCTGACCTAGAGGCTCAGCTGAAGCTAGACCTGTGCTCTAAGACCCCACCACTAGGGCTTGGGCAGAGGACCCCAAAGTCTACTTTTGGCCCTCCTCTCAGAAGAGTAGAGCCCTCATAGCTGCAGACATACAGTCTCCAAGGTGTGTGGGACCAGCCTGAGCCCTAAATCAAGCACTTTCACCTTAGAAATGAGCCCCATTTGAAAAAAAAAAAAAGATGACATCCACATAACATGGAATCAGCTATTTTTATGTTGTGAGTTTTTAATGAACTCACAATCTAATGCAGCCACTACCTCAATCTAATTCCAGAATATTCCATCACCCCAAGAGAAGCATCCCCATAAGCAGCCACCCTCTCCCCTCCCCAGCCACCAGCACCCATGAGTCCACTTCCTGTCTCTGGATTCTCCTATTCTGGATATTTCCTATCAATGGAGTTACACACTGGCCTTTTGTGTCTGCTTCTGTCACTGAGCACAGTGTCCTGAAGGTCTCTCCACATTGTAGTGTGTATCAGAGCCTTGTCCTGTTCGTCTGTTTGTGGCTGAGCGATGTTCCAGTGTGAATGACCACATTGTGTGGCCTTTTGTGTCTGGCCTCAGTCCTGCATCTGTCAAATGAGAGGTTGCAGCTGGCCACAAGCCCCAGAGAAGTCCCTGTCCTTCTGTCTTCAAGGCTGGGTCTGTAGAGGCTGAGGAACGCAGGACCTGGGCACAAGATGTGAACAAGGACATGGAGACTGTGTCCAGAACATAAAGACTGTAATTCAAAACCAAAAGACAAACAACTGATTAAACATGGACAAAGGACTTGAACAGACATTTCTCTGAGTGGCCACAAGCGCATGCAAGCTGTGAAACTTCATGAGTCACTTTGGAAATGCAAATCCTAACCACAGTGAGATGCCACCTCACAACCACGAGGACAGACATGATGAAAGCAAGGAGAGAAAGTGCTGGTCAGGAGGGGAGAAGTTAGAACATGTTTTGTGCCAAGGGAAGATGGAGCAGCCACTTGGACATCAGTCCCACAGTTGCTTCAGAAAGTAAATAAATGAAAGTTTCTATCCGGCATGTCCACTCCTAGGTGTCTGCCCAGGAGAAATAAGAACTTGTATGTGACCGTCCACAGCATCCTGATTCACAGCAGCCAAGAGGAAGCATTGTCCACGGAAGGATGTCCACAGCCATGGTCCATGGTCTATCCACACAGGAACATCACTTAGAGCCTGAACAGGATCAGGCTCTGACACATGGCACAACGTGGAGGGACCTTTGGACACCGTGCTCAAGGCCCCACAGCTGTGATTCTTTTGATAGGAGAACAGGAGAATCCAGAGACAAGAAGTGGACTCATGGGTTCCCGGGGGCCAAGCAGGAAACGGGGTGACTGCTAATGGGGACACAGCTTCCTTTTGGGGTGGTGGACTGTTCTGGAATTAGACAACTGATGCAAGTCTTAGTTGCATACTGCTATAAACGTACTAAAAACCACTGAACTGTGCACTTTACATTGGTGAGTTGTATGGCATGTGTATTGTTTCAATAAAGATGTCTAAAAATGGAAAAAAACATCACACACAGCTGACAGCACTCAGTCCCAGGCCTGCCCACTTTGCTGCCCTAAGCTTTGTGGGTACCAGACCCTGTGGGCAGAATGGGTACACTAAGGCCCAGAGCTGGCCTTATGACTGGCGCTAATGTTTGTTGGATGACTGCTACTTGTCTGCCATGTGTAATAATTAATTCCCATTGCCCTTGCCTAAGCTAGGAGATATGGCCTGTTCTACAGAGAAGGAAACTGAGGCTCAACTAGGCAGTTGCAGGAATCCAGGCGACCCAGGGTGCAGTTGGTGGTGGAGGTCTTGGGCAACTTCCTGTTATCTACCCAGTGGGGCTGAGACTGGATCCACGTGGGGGGGGCTTTGCCACCATAACCACTCTGTGATGCTCCCATGGGACACCTGGCCATACAGTGTCCTCAAGGGCCAATGGGTGCCCCCCCCGACACCCAGTGTTCCCTATCTGAGCTGGGGTGCAGCTGAGGGGCAGAGGTGGGCATGGAGAGGGACAGAAAAGGAAAGCAACTTTGGCCTACATCACACAGCCAGTCCTAGACGGAGTGTGCCAGGTGGGGACAGGCTGGGAAACACTGACTGAAGGACCCCTAGTTGCAGGTAGAGGAGCCTGAGGCCACCAGTGAAAGGAATTCACGTGAGACCTCTGATACTGGGGCCTCTTTTTGTATATATGGAGCTGGGATGGAAGTCAGGCCTGCACATGCTGGACAAGTGCTTACCCTCTGCCCTCAGCTAGGGCAAAACACAGCAGGGCTGGGGTGGGGCTCAGTAGTAGAGCGCTTGCCTAGCATGCAGTAATGGGTTCATCCCTGGGACTGCAAAAATTAAATAAAAAATATAGCATGTCCCATAGAAGACCCACCGTGTCCCCTTATGTAGTCCTGC